TGTGGAATATAATGCAAGGAGAAAACTACGGGAGCTCCGCCAAACAAAATCAGTGCGGGACTACGTGCGAGAATTCTCCGCACTCATGCTCAGCATACGGACATGGGATAAGGACAAAACTCTTCACCTTCATGGAAGGTTGAAACCTTATGCCGCGTGGAGCTACAGAGACAAAGGGTAGATTCCCTTCCCAAGGCCATCCAAGCAGCTGAATGCCTTGGGGACTATACAAATGGAAGCTCGAAGGGACAGGCCTCAGCCGCCTGCCCGAGCAGGGTTCAAAGGGGGCAGCCCAGCAGTGGTGGCCTTAGCAAAAATGGGGAGATCGGAACTCAAACAAGTCTAGATCCTTCCTCACGGCAGACAACAGTGCTACGCCAAACAACAATGACCGGGCGAGAAAGCCCCCTTCAGGATGCCGTCATTGCGGCGGCCCCCATTGGAACAATGAGTGCCCACATGCACAGATGAATGCCCAATCAGGCTATGGATGATGGGACTGATGACGACTCAGACGATGCGGAACAGACTGAACCAGTAGGTGCCTTCAATGCAATTGTGGGTTCCATTTCCGAGGCACTAGCGGAGACCAGTGCTGGATTCGTAAGAAGAGGACTCATGTCCCGTCTCCAGGAAAGGGAAAGAAGGCGAATGAAGGGACTCCTCTTAAACAAGAGAGGACCTTAATGTTCGTCGAGATGAAGTGAATGGCAAGCCCATTCGGGCTATGATAGACACGGGTGCTACCCACAACTACTTAGCCTCGACTCAGGTGGAGCGCCTTGGAATAGTTGTAGGGAAAGGTAAAGGTAGCGTCAAGGCTATCAACTCGCCTCCCCAGCCAGTGGGTGGAATAGCTAAAGAAGTACCGGTGAAGCTTGGTCCTTACGAAGGAAAATTCAACCTGCGAGTGGTGATCATAGATGACTTCGAGTTGATTGTTGGGCTGGAATTCCTAAGGCAAACCAACACCATGCCTGTACCATTTGCAGACATGCTACTGATGATGGGTACCAATAGGGCCAAGCCCTGCATTATCCCGTGCCTGCCCATGAAGATGGCCGTTGAGAACATCTCGGCCTTGCAGTTGAAGAAGGGGGTCAAAAGGAATGAACCTACGTTCCTGGCAACCCTCTGCATTGAAGATATAGAACGCTCCTCGGTCCCATTCCTGAACCCGTGAAGGAGTTACTACTTGGAGTTTGAAGATGTCATGCCACAAGACATGCCAAAGCGGCTCCCGCCTAGCGCACTGTGGACCATGAAATTGAGTTGGTGCCGGGCGCGAAGCCACCTGCCTGGGCGCCTTACAGAATGTCCACAACCGAACTTACCGAGCTTCGGAGACAATTGACGGAAATGCTTGATGCAGGATCATTGTACCCTCCAAGTCCCCATATGGGTCCCCTGTTCTATTCCAAAAGAAACATGATGGCAGCCTGCGACTCTGTGTGAATTATCGAGCTCTAAACAAGATCACCGTGAAGAACAAGTACCCCATTCCCTAATGGCGGACTTGTTTGATAGACTGGTGCTGCTACGGTGTTCACCAAGATAGATCTGAAGACAGGTTATTGGCAAGTTCGGATTGCAGAGGGTGATGAACACAAGACGACTTGTGTGACAAGATACGGGTCATACGACTTCCTGGTCATGCCATTCGGCTTAACCAACGCCCCTGCTACGTTTTGCACTCTCATGAACCAAGTCTTCCGAGAGTACATCGACGAATTTGTGGTGGTCTACTTAGATGACATTGTGTATATAGCCAGACATTGGAAGAACACCTGGGACACCTGCGGAAGGTCCTAGCACGGTTGCGAGAACATGAACTATATGTAAAGCTGTCCAAGTGCTCCTTTGCTCAGAAGCAAATTGATTTCCTCGGACATGTCATCGAGGAAGGACGCCATCAAGATGGACCAGCAGAAAATCCAGGCCATCACAGATTGGCCGACACCTAAGGATGTCCACGCCTTGAGGGCGTCCTTGGCCTATGCAACTTCTACAGGCGGTTCGTGAAGAACTACTCGCTTATCGCAGTGCCATTGACAGAACTCCTCAAAAAGGTCACACCTGTGGGATTGGGACCAAGGAGAGCAGAGGCCTTCAACGCATTAAAAAGCGGGCTGATGTCTAGTAGTCCGCGTCTTGGCCCTTCCTGATTTGGCCAAGCCGTTCGAGGTACAAACAGATGCTTCTGACTATGCACTCGGTGGAGTCCTGCTACAAGAAGGGCACCCTGTAGCGTACGAGAGTCGGAAAGCTGAGGATGCAGAGCGGCGCTATGCCGCCCATGAGAAAGAATATTGGCTGTCGTCCACTGCTTGCGTCTCTGGAGGCACTATCTGCTGGGAACCCCGTTTCGTGGTCAAGACAGACAACACAGCTGTTAGCCATTTCATGACTCAGCCGAAGCTGAATGGTCGACAGGCCAGGTGGCAGGAACTCTTAGCTGAATTCCACTTCAACTTGGAGTATCGCAGTGGAAAGACCAATCATGTTGCTGATGCGCTCAGTCGGAGAGCTGACCTAGCATCGGTGTGCCTACTCGCCACCCTAAGGGGGAGCGAGGTAGCCACATCCATCAAGGACCAAATACGGGATCTACTCATCAAGGATCCTGCTGCTCAGTATTTGGTTGATTTGGTAGGACAGGGCAAGACTCGCCAGTTCTACATGGAAGATGGTTTTCTGAAAGTAAAAGGGAATCGACTTTATATTCCTAAAGGAGGAGATTTGCGGAGGACTCTTCTAACGGAATGTCATGATACTCTGTGGGCCGGCCATCCTGGTGAAGAACGCACCATGGCGTTACTTCGTCGTGCCTATTATTGGCCTCAAATGGCCGATGACGTCGCTCAGTATGTGAAGACTTGTCTAGTATGCCAGAAGAACAAGTCGGACCGCTTGACACAAGCGGGACTCTTGGAACCACTTGCTGTTCCAAAGAGACCTTGGGAAAGCGTTTCCCTGGATTTCATCACCGGATTGCCCAAGGTCGGAGATCTCACAACCATCTTAGTTGTGGTGGACCGGTTTTCCAAGTATGCCACCTTTATTGCAGCCCCACAATATATATCAGCAGAAGATACAGCTCGACTCTTCTTCTCTCATGTCGTCAAATATTGGGGCCTGCCCAAAGACATTGTTAGTGACCGCGACTCACGCTTCACTAGCAACTTTTGGACCCAACTCTTCAAGTGCCTTGGGTCAAAATTGAGTCACAGCTCAAGTTTTCATCCGCAATCTGATGGCCAGACGGAGCGGTTCAATGGTATGTTGGAGGAATATCTCCGCCACTTTGTAACCGGATCGCAGAAGAATTGGGTGAAGCTTCTGGATGCTGCTCAACTGTGTTTCAATTCACAAAAGAGCTCTAGTACCAACAAAAGCGCTTTTGAAATTGTTACCGGACAGCAACCGCTACTCCCACACACTGTGAATGCACCAAACATGGCTAAATCTCCTCGAGCTGCCAGCTTCTCAAAAGAGTGGAGGCGGAATTTGGAGATAGTGCGGAGCTACCTTGTCAAAGCCCAAAAGCGGATGAAGAGGCATGCTGATCAGAATCGTCGCTTTGTTGAATATCAAGTAGGAGACAAAGTGATGGTCAAAATTCCAAAGCGGTACTTATTTGCAGGGGTCCATGACCCTCGCCTATTGCAAAAATACATTGGACCCTTGTCCATTGAAAAGCGTATTGGGAAGGTTGCATACCGGGTGGATACCCCAGCTTGGTGGAAAATTCATCCTGTCTTCCATGTCAGTCTCCTGAAACCTTTTCGGGAAGACACGGAGGATCCTTCAAGGAGCCAGCTCACAATACCCAGTATTCGAGGTCCCAATTCAACCGGGAAAAGGCGTGTTGAAGCTATCCTTGATGACAGAGTGATTCATGCCTCAAGGAAAGATCACCAAGAGTTTTTGGTGAAATGGCAGGGCTGTGATGCAGAAGAGAATACTTGGGAGAGGGGAACAAACCTCAAAGCCTACAAGAGCCTCATTGAAGATTATTTTGCAAGTAAGGCGCCGAGGACGTCGCCAACTCAGGTGGGGGAGAATGTCATGGGCGGCTTTCCAGCCATGCCCCATGACCCCTTGGGCGCGCCCCGTGGCGTCCTAGCGAACCTCCCAATGCCTAGCGCCACGGACGGCCCCGTGGTCTTGGCCGCGCCAAGTGACAAGCGCGCAGGTGCCTCTGTCGCCCCACCGATATCCCTCGCGAGCGCCATGCCGCAGGCAGAAGCCAACAGCGCCGCGCGCGCAGACCGTGATGCCAAAGACACTGCTGCTGACAACGGACCTGCTGCTGCCTTATAGAAAACTAAGTCATTTTCATTGTAAATATAGAGTAGTTTTATTTCATGTACTTCCATTATGTTTCTCTAGCTTAGTCAAGTCTAGTCTTGTAACTTTGGATTATTTTTTTTAAGTACTATTAGGGGGGATCAAGCAATCAAAACTTTCTAGCAAGCAAGCAATTCTCTGTACTGGTGTCTCTCCCCCTCGACACCGCGTTGCTTTTCTGTAATAGCTTTCATTAATGCAATCAAGCTTTCTTTCATTCTGAATTCTCATTTCTGTTCTCTCAATTGCTCTTGACATTGGTTTTCCCGTACGGCACTGACAATCTCGTCTAGCGTACGGAGGGGACCTCAGTTGGCGGACAGCAACTGAACTGACATCAGTTGCCTAGCCGTACGTCGCCCTTCCAAGGAATCTCAGGAAGGCGCCGCGTATCATGTATCATGTCTTTGTTCATCTGAACTGCGTAATTCTTCTTGGTTTCCATTTAGGATATCTTTTTTTTGAGTATCTGTTCAGTGCTTTATCTAATTTGTATATATCATTATTTTCCATTTGGCAAGCTTATTATATTTAGCCTTTTAAAATATATGCTCCTGCTTTAATGAGTGGATGACACCTGAATAGTTATTAATTTAAGGCTTTGAATCATTTCAAACTAAAGGTTCCATCTCTTCTTTTTTTTTCTTCAGGTTATCGATTCCTCTGTGCACAGCTTTTACCATCTTAGGTGGTTTACGCTACTCGTCGTTGAAGTAAACATGAATCAACCACATCAATATGGTGAAGATCAGGTAAGTTGCAAATTTCCTGTTAGTAATTGTACCACTAATTCTTAAACTATGTTTAATTCTAAGTTATGCACACAGGATGAAGCCACTGTGATAGGTTTCGAAGTTCCAAGATCACCCGATGCAAGTTACAACAACGTGTATCCTGGGAACGAAGATGAAGGGCGGGAACCGCCAATGCTCCCGTCACATCTGCACCATACCTTGTTAAACCACCAAACGACTAGAGATCAATCTGCATCCCTCCCCTCGCCACAAAATGTGGTTCTAAACCATCTCTATATCGAGAACAGAGAAGCTCCGAGATCGGTGGTGGCGCTCGGGGTAACACATCGCTTTCGCTCTAAGTATGTTACTGTAGTGCTTTACAAACCAGTTCAAAGGAGAGGAGGTAGTAACAACGCCTAAAGTACATGATGGAAGCACCATCTTTGTTTGATTTGATGGAAACAATAGAGGTAAATACACAGCAATTGAGCAGCGGGAGAACATTTACTTCTACACAGCTGCCTGTGAAAGTAGGAAAAATTAGGATCTTGATCATCCTTGGACTTGAATAATTGAAATTAGGTTTTGGTTGGTTTCAAAAAATTTACTTGTACTATGGAAAAAATTAGTCATGTTCTTGGGGTTAGCTTGGGTTAAGCAGAGTTTTATGGTTGTGCATTGCACTGTAGCACCAGATTGATGAAAATTGGAACAGTGAAGTTCCTGATGAATATATATTCTATATGTATGATGCACTTTACAATTATGTACTCTTCGCCTATTCTACAAAACTATTTGAGCTATCATATATGAAGAAAAAAGATGTTGATTATGGCTCAATAGACAAGTAGCTGCTGGTTTTCCCATTGATGTTGTAAAGATGTTAATCCGCAACATGAAGTGATTGAGAGGAGCAATGCTTTGTTAAGTTCTCCAGCAGCTGCTCCTGTCTTGATTAGCAATATGATGTAATCCATGAAAAGTGAATCACATGGCAATGTAATAGGTCCACAACTTGGCAGCCCAAATTCTTCTTCAGACTTTTCCAAGAGTTGCCTAATGAGCTCATTTTCCAGGTAGGACAATGGAATCGCAAAGCGCCTTTGATCAGCTGTGTACACTACAAAATGGCCTTTCTCAACTATAGAAAATGTTGTACTGCAGTTGTCTGCATCATTGCCATTTCTTGGAAGTGAAATCCTTTTCCTTTGAATGGCTGCAAACTTCTGCCATTTCCTGGCCATCTTGATGAGTTTCTTAGCACTGAGCATTGTTTGACAGTAAACTAGATAAAATTGAAAACTTTGGAGGAAACTGATACTGCTTGTTTGGATGATGAGAAGTTTCATAAAAGAGGATTATTTATACTAGAGGCCTTAGATAGGCTTTGAGTTGCAGCTGAAGTTTTTGCAACTATTCACCAAAGGCAAAACCTTGTGGTGATGCCTGTTGGTAATGTTTGATATGGGGTCATTTAGATTGTGGATAAAGCTAGTTTGAATCATGAATGATATGTTTCTCCCTGTCTTCTCTTTGGTAGAAAGAAGACATTTTTTGGGTCAAAATTGAATTCTTTTGGACAAGTTAGGAAGAGCTAATAAGGTTATGAAAAAAGGTGTAGGGCCTTTTGTCTCTCAAAATAATTTGGTCTGATAAGCAACATTATCAAATGCTTGTCAGTCAGTATGAAGGCAATTCCATGTGTGCTGCATGTGGTATTGTCGTTCTAGTTGGACTTACCAAAAGCTTTCCCAATCTTTCACCAGTAATTATCAGGATGTCTTATGACATTATTTTTTATAAATACACATCCAATTTTTCAAAAATTTCTTTCTTTTCACTCTAATAGACAGATAAAATAATGAATTATTGGTTGCAGAAACTAGAATTATTTACAGCTCTCATCCCCTGCCCTATATGGTTGTAGATTGAACTGCCTCATTATACAAAGTTCCTAAGTCATACCAATGTATATAATACATTAGAACAATAATAACAACAATAACAAACCCAGTGCAGTCCCACAAGTGGGGTATTAGTAGGGTAGTGCGTATGCATGCCTTACTCCTACCCTTGGGAGGTAAAGAGGCTGTTTCCGATAGACCCTCGGCTGAAGAAGATGAAAAGCAACACTAGAAACAAGCAATATCAACCACAAAGGCCAGAAAGATAATAACAACAATCTAAGAACCAGAAAAATAGACAGGAGGGAAGCTTGTTTCAATATTTTGTTTCAGTGTGTCTGTCTAAAGATAGATAATGCCTGAAGGTGTTCATCATTATACATTTGGATATGAATGATTATTTGCTAGAAACTAAAATCCAAGTGGAGCTGGGGTAAGTATGAGGTATGATCAGTCAACCATTGAAATTTTTTATAACATTCCAAATGATTGCTGCGATCTGCAGCTTCCTTCTCAATCTAGTGTTATCAAGTATGCGATTTTGCTGCAGTTAAAGGGGAACACTTCTACTATTTCACTTCATTTACTCTTTTGAGTTAATTTTCCATACCAGCAAGACTTGCGTGGACATTATTCGTATATCTGAAAGTCTTGATCGACAAAGTTGACTATTCGTATAAAAAATAAGTGTATTTCTATAAATAGTGCCAGACCAAGATGAGAATCTAAAAGTCCTCAATCACCAAATTGGATATAAATCTAAATCTGGTTAAATTCAGATAAAACTCTATTGCACTTACACACTTCATTTGCCTACTTTTCATCTGTTATACAATCTGTTTTGGTCTATCATTTACTAAAGATAATGATCATGACTCAATAAACAAGAAGCTGCTTGTTTCCCCATTCTTGGTGTAAAGAAGAAGTTGAACAACAACATGAAGTAACTGATAGGAGCAATGCTTTCTGAACATCTCCAGCAGCTGCACCTTTCTTGATAAGTGAAATTATGTATTCCATGAAGGCTGAATCACAAGGTAATGTAATAGGGCCTCCACTTTGCAGCCCGAACTCTTCCTCAGATATGTTTAAAAGTTGCAAAATGACCTCATTTTCCAAATAAGCCAATGGAATCAAAAAGCGCCTTTGATCAGTTGTATACACTACAAACTGGCCTTTTCCAGCTATAAAAGATGTAGATGTACTACAACCGTCTACATCATTTCCATTTCTTGGAAGTGAAATCCTCTTCCTCTGCATGGCCGCAAACTTCTGCCATCTCCTTGCCATCTTTATGAGTTTCTTAGCACTGAGCATTGTTCTTTTCTCTGGAAGATTGGAAACAAGAAAGTAAACTAGAAGTCTAGAGACCTTTGAAGGCTGAATGGATGGTGTTGTGGTTGATGATGAAAAGGCTCATGGAAGGGGGATTATTTATACAAGAGGCTTCAAGTTGGAGCTGAAGTTTTTGTGACTAACCACCAAAGGCAAAGCCATGTGCTAATGCCTGTTGGTCATGTTGACATGGGGCCTTATATTTATGTTTGAATTCGTGGAAGATGATAAGTTTCTTCCTTTCTCCACTTTGGTCGACAATGAAATGTTATGAACTTATGATATTGACCCATGTGTAGGACTATTTTCTAGGACGAATTTTCTTTCAAGTGGTAGGTTATGTTTTGTTGGTGAAAGGCAAAACCATGTGGTGCTGCCTTCTTGGTCATGTAGGTAGGGAACTTTTAAATTGCAACCATGGCTGGTTGTGCTAAACCACAAAATTGAAGTTATAGAGGGACAAAGAAGGATTAAGTTTGTTCCGGTTCTGGTTTTCTTTTGCCAGCATCTTACGGGGCTTATCCACTCCAGTACCAGGTGTTGGTTACGTTAATGATAATGCAAAAGCAGGTGGTTGATATAAATAAGCATTCTTTTTATGACCAATAAGCCTTCATCAACAGGAATGAGATGAACGTTATCGATTGGACAGTGAAAATGGTTTTATGCTGCTTTTTACATAACTTTCTTCTGAGTTTGTCATATCATTACCTTATCCATTTAATTGTGAAAGCATCAAGATGGATATGTCAGGTGCGCGACCAGCAGGATAGATAAGTACTTGTAATGATTTTTGTCCTACGGAGAGATATATTGCACAAAAAAAAAAAAAAAGAAAAAGAAGAGAGACCTACAATGAATTCACCATAATACCAGTGGTTCATAGTTTATTTGGATTTGAGGCTTGCTATGCTCTTCAATTTCATCTGTGCACATTGTAGAACTATGATCTTGTTAGTCAACAGAAATGCCCCATTCAAAGTAATCATACTGGATTTTCATTACTTAGTCCAACTTACTAAGACCACTTGTTTTTGTTAGGTGGGTTTTCTGTCAATGGGTCCAGATAATGGTTTATTTACATCAGAGTTATGAGCTTACTGGAATTGCACATGCAATGTCTTGGTATAAACTGTGACAACCCGCATCTTTGCGATGAAACTTACTGGAATCTGCAGCTTCATTTTCAATCTATGATTGATCAAGTATGAGAGTTAACTAAAGTTAAAGGGGATCACTATTATGATTTAACTAATTGTGTGGGAATGATTCATACATCTGCTAGTTTTAATCCACAATGTTGGCTACTGGCATAAAAAATAAGGTCCCTGTAAACTATACCAGGTCCAAGATGAGAATACTATAAGTTCCAACTGAATCGAAAGTTTGAGATCTATAAATCTGGTTAAATTTCAGATAAAGTGGTATTCGATCTGCAATACACAGATTCAATTGCCTACTTTTCACCTTCTATACAATCTATTTTGAGCCATCATTCGCTAAAATATAACTTAATAAACAAGAAGCTGCTGGTTTCCCCATTCTTGGTGCAAAGAAGAAGTTGAACAACAAGATGAAGTAACTGAGAGGAGCAATGCTTTGTGAAGATCTCCAACAGCTGCACCTTTCTTGATTAGTGAAACGATGTAGTCCATGAAGGCTGAATCACAAGGTAATGTAATAGGGCCTCCACTTGGTAGACCGAACTCTTCCTCAGACATGTTTAAAAGTTGCAAAATGACCTCATTTTCCAGATAAGTCAAGGGAATCAGAAAGCGCCTTTGATCAGTTGTATACACTACAAACTGGCCTTTACCAGCTATAAAGGATGCAGATGTACTACAGCTATCTTCATCATTGCCATTTCTGGGAAGTGAAATCCTCTTCCTCTGCATGGCAGCAAACTTCTGCCATTTCCTTGCCATCTTGATGAGTTTCTTAGCACTGAGCATTGTTCGTCAATTTCTCTGGAAGATTGGAAACAAGAAAGTAAAGTAGATATTTGGAGACCTTTGATAGCTGAATAGATGCTGCTAGTAGTTGATGATGAAAAGGCTCATGGAAGGGGAAATATTTATACAAGAGGCTGGAGACAAGATTTGAGTTGGACCTGATGTTCTCGCCACTAGCCACCGAAAGAAAAGCCATGTGCTGATGCCTGTTGGCCAGGTCGAAATGGGGCCTTAATTTATGGATGAAGCTAGTTTGAATATTGAGAAAATGATAAGTTTCTTCCTTTCCTCACTATGCTCTACAACATAATGGATGTGTTAGTTATGATATCTACTTATATGTAGGACCTTTGAACAATGCTGATAGTTTGAGACCTTTAAATGAAGAATTGATTTTAGAAATGGTAAATTATGTTTTGCTGGTGAAAGACAAAACCATGTGGTACTGCCTTCTTGGTCATGTTAGATAGGGAACTTTTAAATATGACCATGGCTATTTATGCAAAAAACTACCACATTGAAGTTACATAGGGCCAAAGATGGATTAGATTGTAAAATTCTGCTTTTCTTTTGCCAACATCATTTGGAGTTATTGATTCCAGTGCCAGCTATTGTACCTGAATGATAATGCAAAAGCAAACTGTTTAATCTAGTTAAGTCTTTACTAACAGGAATGAAATGAACCTTACCTATTTGACTGCTAAAATGGTATTACTCGACTGTATGCCTTGGTGAGGTCACCTATATAGATTTAAAACCCGAATTTGGGAAGTAGTGTTTATCAAGTTAAATTAGCATCCTACAACCAACATTCAAGACACCAAAAGTTTTCAGGTAGAAATACTATGGTTCTTATAAGTTGTAATACAGGACAAGGATAAGTCTGAAGTCACAGTATTTGATCCTGAGTTCATCACAACTTGTTTAGTGAATATTTTTGAGGCCAATTTACTAAATAAAACCTGATCACACCTCTTGAGTATTTACTTATATTATCATTGTAAATCGATTAAATTCATAAGACTATTAGAAAGAAAATGAAAAGAAATCAGGAGCTTCTAAATAATAGTAAGAGAATAGAGCAGTTCAGAGAAAACAATATGGAGATTGGATAAATAATAGAAGTTAATATGCTGTACACTTGTTGAATATCATGAATCTATTACAAAACTTATCATGATCAGTTGAATATCATGAATCTGTTACAAAACTTATGATGGTCAGGTCAATAAACTAGCAATTGTGTGTTCCTTTGTTCCCGTGGGCACGGAGCTGATGAGCATCTGGTTGCAACTGATACAAGCAAAGCATTCTGAAGATCTACAGCTACTCCTCTTTTGATGAGCGTTATGATATAGTTCATGAAGGCGGCATCACATGGTAATGTAATAGGGCCATCATTTGAGAGCCCAAATCATCTTCGGACATGTTCAGTAGTTGTATGATTACCTCATTTTGAAGATAAGCCAAAGGAACCACAAAGCGCTTTTGATCAGCTGTATAAACCACAAAATGCCCTTTGTCAACTACAAAGGATGATGTGCTACAACTATTACCATCATGGTGATTGGACAACGGATATGAAATTCTCTTCCTCTGCATTGCTGCCATTGCTGCAAGCTTCTGCCATTTCTTGGCCATCATGGTGAGTTTCTTAGCACTGAGCATCATTTTTTTTGGAAGATTAAAAAAAAGACAGTAGACTAGATAATCGAGAACTTTAAAGGAAACTGATAGTGCTTGTCTTTGATATGTAAAGGCTCATAAAGAGTTTTATATATTTGAGTTGCAGCTGAACATTTTGCAACTAATCACCAGACAAAGCAATGTGGTAATGCCTGTTGGTAATGTTGATATGGGGCCTTTTAGAGTATGGATATACTATAAAGCATAGATGATGATAGGGTTTTTTCTTGTATTCTCTTTGATAGACAGAAAATATTAGTTAATTATACATGAGAGCCTCACCATTGCCAGCACATGGTTTTTCCTTTCACCAGCAAAACATAATCTACCACTGAAAAGTATAACTACTGACACAGTTCAAAGGTCCTACATATGAGTTGATATCATAACTAACATGTCTATTCTGTTGTTATCGGCCAAAGCAAGAAAAGGAAGAAACTTATCATCTTTCGAACATTTCAAACTAGCTTCATCCCCAAATTTAAGGTCCCATATCGACATGGCCAACAAGCATCAGCACATGGCTTTGCCTTGGGTGGTTAATGGCAAAAACTTCAGCTCCAACTCAGCTCCTGTTTCCAGCCTCTTATATAAATACTTCCACTTCCATAAGCCTTTTCATCATCTATTCAGCCTTCAAAGATATCTAGACTTCTAGCTGACTTTCTTGTTTCCAAAAACAAAACAATGCTCAGTGCTAAGAAACTCATCAAGATGGCCAGGAAATGGCAGAAGTTTGCGGCCATGCAGAGGAAGAGGATTTTACTTCCAAGAAATAGCAATGATGCAGATAGTTGTAGTACCTCATCATCTTTTATAGCCAACAAAGGCCAATTTGTAGTGTATACAACTGATCAAAGTCGCTTTGTCATTCCCTTGGCTTACCTGGAAAATGAGGTCATTTTACAACTTTTAAACATGTCTGAAGAAGAGTTCGGGCTACCAAGTGGTGGTCCTATTACATTACCATGTGATTCAGCATTGATGGACTATATTGTTTCACTAATCGAGAAAGGTGCAGCTGCTGGAGATCTTCGTAAAGCATTGCTCCTCTCAATTAATTCATGTTGCTGTTCAACTTCTTTGCACCAAGATTGGGGAAAGCAGCAGCTCCTTGTTTATTAGTCTTGATCATTATCTTTAGTAAATAATAGCTCAAACTAGATAGTATAGCAGGTGAAAAAGTGTGTATTACAGATGGAATACAACTATATCTGAATTTTGACCAGATTTATACCTTTCGTTCCATTTTCAGTTTGGTGATTGAGAACTTTTAGATTCTCATCTTGGTGTGGCAATATTTACAGGAAACACTGTATTTTTTATCCAAGTAGTCAACTTTGTGATCAAAACATACAGATATACGGATCATGCCCATGCAAGTCTTAATGACATGAAACTTAATTCTAAAGAGTTCAAATGAAGTAAAACCATAAAAGTGTTCTGCTTCCACTGCTATTAAATCTCATACTTGATCGATTTAGATTGATAATGAAGCCATTGTTTACACAACTAACTGGGATGCAATAACAAAGCTCAATAGTTCACTTTTCTAGTACATTATACGTATCTCATCAAGACATTATATTGCATGTGCAGTTCCAGTTATCTCTATAAATCTGATGTAAGTAAACCATAATATCTGGACTCATTGTTAGAGAAACCACCTAGCAAAAACAAGGTGGGTTCAGCTGCATAGAGAATTACAGATAAGGTTGTAAATTTACTACTTTAACTTGGCCCACCGCCGAAAGAAAAGCCATGTGCTGATGCCTGTTGGCCAGGTTGAAATGGGGCCTTAATTTGTGGATGAAGCTAGTTTGAATATTAGGATGATGATAAGTTTCTTCCTTTCTTAAATATGCTCTACAATAGAATGGATGTGTTAGTTATGATATCCAGTGGCGGAGCCACCTCATAGGAAGGGGTGTCATATTTGACACCCCTTTGCGGGAAAAATACAGGCGTATGTGCATGTTAAGGATGTTGCTCTTGCCCACATACTTCTCTACGAAACTCCTTCTGCATCTGGCCGCTATATTTGTGCTGAGAGTATGCTTCATTGCGGCGATATGGTTGAAATTCTTGCCAAATTTTTCCCGGAGTATCCAATCCCCACCAAGTAATTTTACTTCCCAAATCTATGGAGTAGCAAATTTTGACCTTTATTTGAACTAACCTTAGTGCATAAACAATTCTGCTTTGTTTTACTTTTAAAATTCCATATTCTGAAAGTTGTTTAGAACTAGTTGAATTTTCCTCGTTAAAAGTTAGTAGTACATTAATATTCTTGGAAAGAGCAGGGGGAGGCTTGTTGGCACGTTCTCAGGCATTCCTACCAGTTTTCAATTCCCAGGAGTTAATTCATATGAAAACTTATATGTATATATACTATGTATTGACTCCCCTTATTTTCCCGATATGTTTATATTTATATATGTTGATACCCCTTAACGAAAATTCTGGCTCTGCCACTGATGATATCTACTCATATGTGACCTTTGAACAATGCTGATAGTTTGAGACCTTTAAACGTAGAATTGATTTTAGAATGGTAAATTATGTTTTGCTGGTGAAAGACAAAACCATGTGCTTCTGCCTGCTAGGTCATGTTAGATAGGGAACTTTATAAATATGACCATGGCTAGTTATATTGTTCTATTCTGCTTTTCTTTTGCCAACATCATTTGGAACTTATTGATTCCAGTTCCAGCTGTTGTACCTGAATGAATAACACAAAAACAAAGTGTTTTAATATAATTATCTTTTCATGATCAAAATAAGTCTTTACCAATAGGAATGACATGAACCTTACCAGTAGTAAAAATGGTTTACTACTGCTTTCGACGTAACTTTGTTTTGAATTAGTCATATCAACATCACCTTATCCATTTTATTGTGAAAGCCACAAGCTGGTTATGCCAGGTGCAAGGTCTCCAGAGATTTTTTTTTATAGATAATAAGGGGTGAAAAATTATTGCCCTCCGACCTTTTTATTAGTAATAATTTTTGTTTATTACATTGGAGATTCATACCGGTATTACTACATTGTATGCCTTGGTGGCGACTTACATAGATTTAAAATTAGCAGCCTAAACCAGCATTCAAGAGACAGAAAATTTTCCAGGTAGAACTACTGTGGTTCTGATAAGTTGTGTAATATATACTCCCTCCGTTTCAAATTAAATGAGGTAGTTTGACTCGGCACGGAGTTTAAGGAAAAAAAGAAAGACTTTTGAAATTTGTGGTCTTAAAAGCTTAAGGGGTAAAACTTTGTGGGGCCATGACTTTTGTGCGGTTATAAAAGTTTCTCATTAAGGCTAAAATGGGTAAAATGAAGAGTTTAAAGTTGAATTATTTCCAAATTTAGAAATATGTCATTTATTTTGGAACAGACTAAAAAGGAAAGTACCTCATTTAATATGAAACGGAGGGAGTATATGTCTAAAGCCACAGTATTTGATCCTGAGTTCAATATTATCGAAACTTGTTTTGTGAATATTTTTGAAGCAAATTTACTAACTAAAACCTCATCATACTTATTAAGCATTCATTTATATTATCATTGTAAATGGACAGTTAGAAAGGAAGTGAAAAATCAGAAGCTTTTAAATAATTAGAAGTCAATATGGGGTTTGGATAAATAATTAGAAGTCAATATGCTGTACACTTGTTGAATATCATAAATCTGCTAGAAAACTTTGTTAGTAGACTGTATTTGTAAAATAATTCTGGAAATATAAATGAGTATAAACAGAAATGAACATAAACAGAAATGACATAAAACCAATTCGAGCCCACTGAATTCACAGTGTTTCCTTAAGGAATTTAATCCCCTCCTAGTACCCAAGGTTATGGATTATTTCCTCCCAGGATAGAACGAATTACACACTGGTGTAGTGGTACTTCAAACCCCAGTGTTTCAGCGAACACAAAGTTCGGTAGCAAATCACACTTACTTTTTGCTTTGTTTGATGCTAAAAGTATGCAGAAGAAGGAGAAGAAACTCAGAAAATCGTAGTGAAATTCTGAGCAGAATAGTGTTGTATTTATAGCCAAAGTTAGGCTGAAATCTGAAGAGGTGCAACTCTTCAAAATGGCTGTTTATGCAAAACGCCCACAGCATAAATGCCATTACATAAATGGCCATTTACTCAATAATAAAGAGGGAAAATAAAGAGGGAAAATTGAAGAGGGTAGTTACTTTTCTGTTACCAAAACAGAAAAACGGATTGGATTTAATATTAATATTTAATATTAATATTTTGTTATTAAAACAAATATTTAATAACATTTCTGTTAATATTTTACTATTAACAAATAAATTTGGTCCAAAAAGTTAATCAATCAAT